ATAGGGAGAGAAAATAAATGCTCATAAATCATTTAAATTTAATTTAATTTTAAAGAAAAGTAAAGGGCTTAAACATAATTCTTTCTTTAAAAATGCCTTCATCTCAAAAAAAATGCCTTCATCATATTGAAGCAAGAAGTGGTACAGTATAATGGATACAGAGTGGGCCTTGTAGCCCAGGGAGATTGGTAGTCAAGTAACAATAGTAACATACTGTCCTTGTGACCCTCGACAAGTCATTTCATCTCTCAATTCTCTAAGGTAACTTTCTAAGATTATAAATTGCAGCAAAAGTGCCAACCTGTATTGGTAAAGGAAGTTTCTTCATCTGGATATCACAGGGCCAGTCCTCATATCTGGCCCTAATGTGGAGGCAAGCAAAAAGGATTAAAGGTAGATACAGTAAGTGAGGAGAAGAGGGGTCAGATCCCAGTTCTGGGTGAATTACTTCCCCTTTCCAGGACTCTGTTTCCTCCTATGTAAATTAAGGGAGTTGGAATAAATGATTTAGAAAGCCCCTCTCATCTTCTTCGTCTCCTTCAGCTTAATAAAAGCATAGTCCTTCTTTTCTAGGGACATTCACAGCTCAGAAAGGGAGGCTTCTTTTCCACTTCCTGCTCCCCATCCCACCACCCCCACCTGTTTTTGCTGTCAACTAACAGCTGTTCTCTGTCTTTATATAACATTTAATCTTAGTAAAAAACAGCTGGTTCCATTAAACAGACTGATTGCAAACACACCATTTCCTTCCTGCCTCCCTCCTTTTTACTCTCCCTTCCTTCCCTCCATTCCCCACACCCCTTACCTTGCCACTGAGCTCTGAAGAGACGCAATCTGGGTCCCAGATCATAGGATTGTAGACCTAGAACTGGGAGGTCCCATAGGGCTTCACTTGGTCCAACCCCTTCACTTTCCAGATGAGGAAACTGAGCCCCAGAGTGAGTAAGAGAGGGCAGTGTGTGCCATGTGGTCTAATCTTTAGGAAGAAGTCTTTGCTCATTTCAAGAACATCTACAATGACTCAGAGAGCTAGCTCCCTCAGGAAATGTGGGAGCACCTTATGCTAACAATTCACCAGCCCTCAGGAAAACATAAATCCTCTTGCAGGATTTCCAGGGGAAAATTTTGGGTAATTTTGGGTAAATTTCTTAGGTAATCAGGTTGGTTGGATGCTCTAACCATGGCTCTTTCTCTTAAAGCCCAGACCCAGGGGTAGATTGAAAAGACAACAACCAATGGTCTTTTTCAACATATCCATCAGTATGGCCTCATACTGTTGAATATTTTTATCCATGACTTGATAAAGACATAGAATGTATCCTTACCAAACGTGCAGGTGCACTAATCCTTAGTATAGGGATGTCAGGGATGGCTGATGGGAGGAATGACTAGTATACTGGATGACAGGATCAGGTTTCAAAATGATACATGTTGTGTTATGAAAAGAGTGCTCAGTGAGTTCAAATCCCAGCTTTGCTTGTACAACCTCGGGCAAATCACTTAAGCTCTGGGCCTTCATTTCCTCGCCTATAAAATGAAGGAGAAGGACTATTTGACCTATGATAGGTGGCACAGTGAATAGAGCACTGGGCCTGAGTCAGGAAGACCTGAGTTCACATTTAACCTCTGACACTTACTAGCTGTGTGACTCTGGGCAAGTCACTTAACCATTGTCTCAGTTGCCTCAATTGTAAAATGGGGATAATGATAACACCTATCTCACAGGGTTGTTCTGAGTATCGAATGAGACAACACTTATAACACTTATAAAGTACTTAACACAGAGTACTTAGTATATGAGAATAAATACGTTTTCCTTTTCTCCCTCCCATGATCCCCCCACCCCAAATCTAGATCATTGACTCTTTGATCTCAATGTATTGTGGGCCCTTATCAAGTAGGATGAAATTGAATAAGTGCAAATGTAAAGTCTTACACTGGGGTTCAAAAAATCAATTTCCTAAGTACAAAATGGGGGAGGCATTCTGTTGGGCAGAAATTTTACTGAAAAAAAAAGACATGGGAGTTATAGACAAGTGAAAACTCAAGATGCATCAGCCATATGATTCAGTAACCAGGAAACTTGAAGTGATTTTAAGCTACTTTAAGAGAAGGATAGTGTTCAGGAAGAACGAGATGTTGTCTGCTGTACTCTGACTTCATTGAACCACTTCAGTTCAGTTCAGGACCAATATTAGGAAGAACATCCAAGAGTTGCTCCATAATCAATAAACTTCCTTTCATCTTTAACATCCTTTATCACTCCTTTCATCTTTTGTCACTCACTGTAAAATGGCTCCTTCTTGATAACACTATTTCCCTTGCTAGCCAATCTAATCTAATAAACATTTATTAAGTGCCCACTATGTGGCAGAAACTATGCTAAGCTCTGGGGATATAATTAATAAAAAGAAAGTCTCTGCCCTCAAGGAACTTACAATCTACTTGGAGGAGACAACATACAAAAGAAGGCAGGAAAGTGGGATGTGAGGGGATAGAATCAGGGGGTACCTGGCAAAGAAGTATCATGTTCTGTGGAGTTGAAACTAGGCAGGGCAGCAGATGCAAAGTGGAGCCACCCTTTCCCTTACTGGGTATACATTCTAGAGTTTCCAGGTCAAATAAAAATACTGCAAGCAGCCAGAAAAATAATTCAAGTGCCAAGAGTCGTCATTGGGTTCACACAGGACTTAGCAACCACCGCTATAAAGGAGCAGAAAACTTGGAATATGATATTCCAGAAGGCAAAAGATATGGGCTTATAGCCAAGAATAACTTACTCAGCAAAACTAAGTATAATGTTATAGGGAGGAAATGGACTTTTAATGAATTAAGAGGATTTCTAAGCATTCCTGATGAAAAGACCAGAGCTATGGAGAAAACTTGAAGTACAAGCACAGCAGTGAAGACAAACATAAAAAGTAAACATGAATGAATAATGATAAAGGACCAAACAAAGATGAACTGTTTATATTCAAATATGGAGAGATGATATATGTCTCCCCTCTGATCCTTATCATCATTAGGTTCATAGAAGGAGTCTAATTAGCAAGGCCTGGGAGTGATTCTGTTATATCTTGATGATCTTAGGATCTTAGGAAAAGGATTGAAAAGGAAGAGAGGAAGAATACACTTACGAAGAAGGTGGGGAGGAAGGTTAGTGTGCATAAGTAGATATCTATACAAATAAGAAGGAAGGGGTGAGGAGGAGTGACTGACATCTGAATCTCAATCTCATCTGAATTAGTCAAAAGAAGGAAGAATACACACACACAGAGTTGGCTACAGAAATACATTTCACTCAACAGTGAAATAGGAAGGAAAAGAGAGAAGGGGGATGGAACTGGAGGGCAGGTATTAGTCCTAAAGGAAGGATTAGACCTCAGCAAAACAAATTTTAGGGTGTACAAAAATATTTATAGCTCTTTATGAGATGGCAAAGAATGGGTATCTGAGGGTGTACCTATAAATTGGTGAATGCAGGAACAAGTTATTATATGTAAATGTGATGGAAAGCTATTGGGCTAAACTCTTCCCCCTATAACGACCAATCAATATTCCAGAGAACTAATGATAAAACATGCTACCCACCTCCTGATAGAGAGATGAAGTATTCGGAATACAAAATGAGACAAATATTTTTAAGATATGGCCACTGTGAAAATTTATTTTTGATGTACTATACATGCGTGTAATGGGTTTGCTTTTTTACTTTCTCAGTGTTGGGATCAGGGTAGAGGGAACAGGGAAGTGGAAGGCTGCTTTTTGAAAATAAAATAAAATTTAATTTTAAGAAAATTTAAATAAAAATCCCTCTTAACATCAGTTTCCTCATCTCTAAAGTGGAGATAATAACAGCACCTACCTCACAGGGTTATTGTGAGGATAAAATGAGGTAACGCATGTAAATGTTTTGCAAATCTTAAAGCATTTAAAATAAATCTATAAAGGCTAGCTATTATTGTTGTTGCTGTTGCAAGGTGTTTTTTCTTTCTTTTTTTAATGGCAGGGGAGAATGGACAGGGGAGAAAGGGTGGCTAATTGGAAAAAAATTAATTTTAAAAAGAAGGCACAGTAAAAGATGGAGTGTTTCCTAGATACAGTAGATATCCTCAGATATATAGCATCTGAGGGCCCCTACACTGCCATCTAGTCCAAACCTCTGCCTCCAGGCAAGATAGCCCCTAAGCCAAGGGTCAATGGAGATGGCCACCAGGTAAGTCTCAGATACCACCTTTGTGAACACCCCATTATCAGAGGCCAGTGGCCGCTGTTCTAAGCCAATCTATGTTTTAAAAGAAGGAAAATTGCCATTAGCTCCACTTGAGATCTATTTTGTTTATATACTCTCCCCATCTGAGATTCTTCCTTGTAGCTAACTTAAATCTTACCTACCACTTGAACATTGAGTAGTTATCAGCAGTAAGTCTCAAGGCTATCTCCCCAGTGGCAATAATTTCAAGTAACTCTTGCCTCTTTTCTCTTTAGCAAGTCAAACCCCACAATTTTCTTGTGTTTGACAAGACCAGCCTAACCGGTGATGATAAAACCTTGACATTCTTGCTCCCTAAGTAAAGTACAGGGTGTAGACATAGGATTTGGAGTCAGAGATCCTGGGTTTGATTCCTATTTATTATCTATGTGACCCTGGGTAAGGTAGCTACCTGACACAGGGAATAAAAGAGTCAGGAAGACCTGAGTTCAAACCCAGCTTCAGTTATTAGCTATGCAACCCTGGACAAGTCTGCTATACTTTTTTCATCTATGAAATGGGGATAATAATAACACCTAGCTCTCATGGTTGTTGTGATGATAAAATAATAATTTGTAACGTTCTTTGCAAACCTTAAAGCACTATGTAAACACTAGTTAGTATTATCATTCTCCTCTTTGAGCCTCAGTTTCCCCCAATATAAAATGAGAGAGTTGGACCAAATGATCCTTAAGTTCCTCATCAGCCCTAAGTAATATGTTCTAACAACCACATCTACTTTACTCACCAGCTTTCCAGAGTCTTCCAGGGATTGGTTATTGATCTCCTTCCCCTTCTTTGTGGACTTGAGGTGCAGGCTATATTCTCCAGAGGTACTAATGCAGCCATTAGGATGCTCATCCCTGACCACTCCCTGTAAGAGAATTCAAATTCAAAGCTCATTCAATCTCTAATGAAATAAGATGAAGAGATCACGGTGGGAAGCTGACTTGGCTTTGCCAATGCAAAAATGTGTTTTCTTGGGGGAAAAAAATCCAGGAAACTATAGCTCTCCACCACCTCTACTACTTCTCTGGAATGAGTGTAGGAGACATGAACTTTCTGTGCCAACCCAGTTCAATTTGGAGGAGCCCATGCATGAGGTATGAGATGCCTGGGTATGTGTGTTCTCAATGTGTATGTCCCTCTACTAGTGTACTCTACATGTGTACTCACTCTTCCTACTGATGCTGTGTGTAGTTCTGGCAGAGACGTGATGATTTTCTGTTCTTAATGTATCATTATATTTAGTGTTTTTGCCTTTAGTTAATTGTATCAACTTGCTGACTACTAAAGGTGAATGCCCCAGTGGGGGCTCATGAGTTATAGTATTAAGAATATGGACCTATACAGTACCCTAAAACTTGGGTAGCTATTTACCCTTGGAAATTAATCTTCAAGTGTGACTTAGGTGGGTATCCCAGAGGGGACACTACAAACACAATAAATGAATGAATGAATAGATGGATGATGAATGAATGAATGAATACAAGATAATTACATCTATCCAGCCTTAATCTTCACATCTCCACCTTAATGGTCTCATCAGCAATCTCAGACTAAAAGTATCTCTGTCTAATCCCCCTTCCAAAAAGTTGCCAAAATTACGTTTCAAAAGCCCAGATCTGAGCCCATTACTTCCCTGCTCAAAAATTCTTTCTTGCTCTCTCTCTGTCTCTCTCTATCTATCTATTTCTATCTCTTTCTCTCTCTCTCTCCATATATATACACACATATATGTGTATGTATGTATATGTGTATACATATATATGCATCTATACATATATACATACACACACATATATACATGTGTATGTCTGTGTGTGTATATATGTCTCTGTGTGTGTATATGACAGAGGAAACTGGAATCATGAAAACTGATTTGGAGGCTATTGCCATGTGAGGAATAATAAGAGTATGACCTAGAGTTGTTGGTCATGTGGAGACAGGGGCCAGATGCAAGTTATGTTATAGAGGTAGAATCAATATGACCTGATAATTCATAGAATATGAGGGGTGAGAAGGTGGGAGAGGTAAGAGTCAAGGTGGAAGTGTGTGTGTGTGTGTGTGTGTGTGTGTGTGTGTGTGAAAGAGAGAGAGAGAGAGAGAGAGAGAGAGAGAGATATACTGCTTCTAAGATAAAAATACATTCATAATTTGGCTCCCACTTATCATTCCTCAGTTACCTCATATTACTCTTCTACATATATTCTTCAGGCAAACTTACCTACTGCTTCTCAAACTCAACATCCTATTTTCTCCTATCTCCTTGCTAATGCCCACATAGTTTTCCATGACCAAAATACACCCCCTCCTGATTCCTGCATACAGGAAAACAGCAAATAGAACAGTTTGTTTGGAAAATAAAGGGTTTTTTCCCCCAGATGAATAATGTGAAATCCATTGGAAAAGACATTTTACAATTAAATGCCAAGCACTGGCATTTATATTTTATCCTAAAGATAGTAGGGAATCACTGAGGTTTCTTGAGCAGAAGAGCTACTTATTTGGTTATATCCTTATTTTAGAAATGTCGATTTTGCAAACTGTGTGGAAGACTGATGAGGCAAGGGAGAATTGGAGTCTGGGAAACCAATTAGAAGATGAGAGATGATGAGAGCCAAAACTAAGGTGTTGGTCTAGTGAATGGAGAGAATGGAATGAATGGCAGAGACATCGCTGGGGCAAAACCAACAAGATTTGGCAGCCAGTTCCTTGAAGGAGAGGGAAGGGTAAGTAAAGGTCCAAGATGACCTTGAGGTTGTAAAGCTAGGTGGCTAGAAGGAAGTAGAAGAGAAATTACTAGAGAAATAGGGAAGTTGATGTGAAAAAAAACTTTTTAACAATGAGAGCTATCCAAAGGTGGAATGCCTTGGCAGGTAGTGAGTATTTCCCTTATTAGGAACAAGAAATACACCATATAAAAGGGCATGGATGGGTTACAATCCACATTGCTGCAGACAGTCCCTATATTGGATAGCGAGAGAGAGCCAAACAGACAGAGAGACACAGACAACATTACTGCAGACAGCACCCATATTGGATAGCAAGAGAGACAGCGAGAGATGGGGAGACAGAGACTACTGTGCTACAGACAGTACCCATATCAGATAGTGAGACAGAAAGAGACACATAGAGAGAAAGAGAACATTTATTAAACATTTACTAAGTGCTAGACCCTGTACTAAGCTCTGGAGATGCAAAAATAAGCAAGCATGACAGTCCCTGCCCTCAAGAAACTTACATTCTAATAGGGAAGACAGCACATAAGAGGAGCTGGGAAGGGGATGGGGAGGAAGATGGAGCATGACATGGAAATGGCCTGATGCTTGATGGCAGCATGGATCTGGGCAAGAGTCCAAGGATGGTTTCAGGGGCAGAGTCCAAGGACTGGGAAGGAGGAGGAGTGATAGACCTTGCAGAGACTGAAATGTTGTGTAGATAAAAGTAAATATTTATAAAGCAATTTAAGGTTTCCAATGCACTTTCCCTCGAACTACAGAGCTCAACAGAAAAGCCAAGATAATTCTGTCACTTGCCAGTAAACAACTCCACATTATGTAACATCCTCATCCCCACCCTCCATCTCAGAGCTGACTGATAGTGACCAGGCATGTCCAACCTCATCAGAAACTCACTGTAAAGAAAATGAAATCTTCCTTTTATTAGGGTTTCACAAACTGCCATGTCAACTCCAGTGTTTTCTATGAGGCTGGAAGCTGGAGGCAGCTATTGTCTCAATGTGGATAGTAACTTAGGTTCAAATCCTCCCCCAGACACTTACTAACTATGTGACCCTGGGCAAGTCACTTAACCCTGACTGCCTCAAAAAAAAACCAAAACCTGTCTATATAAAAAATGTTAGCTATTAACAGAGTAATAGAGCTAGGAAGAGGATGATCTCTGTCTCAGCCAAGGGACACAAGAGGAATAGAACAAGAACCTTGGGAGACCTGAGAAGACTTAGAGTCAGAGGCAGAAGAAGAAAAAGAAAGAGAAAACAAATCCTTTTTCTCAAATTGTAAGTTAAATTCCAATCCTTTTTTCCTGAATTATCCTTGGTTAAATATTTCATTCCAAAGTAAACCCCTGAATTTCACCCTGTGTGCACCTGGTAACCTCACTTGACCCCTACTCTGTAGAGGGAAGGTCATAGTGGAAGGTGGATGGGGTAGTGGATAGGGCTTTGCCCTTGGAGGCAGGAGACATCTGAGTTTCTATCCCAATTCTGACATCAACTAGCTGTGAGATAAGGGGTGAGTCACTTGACCTTGGTTTTCACATCAGTAAAACGGGGATAGTAGTATCTGTAGTACCTGGTTCCTCAGATTGTTGTGAACCTCAAACGAGTCAATATATACATATATATATATATATATATACAAGGCCCCTCTTTTTTAACATTCAGTATTCTTCTTCTGATGCTGCACATGTCTGTATAAGGTATCCCAAAAGTCTTAGGGAAGACTTATGCTTCAATAACTTAATAACTTCAGGCTTTAACAAAAATTTCATAATAAAGCTATTTAATACTTTAAAGCTGCCGTAAGACTTTTGGGACCATCTGTCCATAGAATGGCAGAAAAAGAACTAAAATTTCCATAACACTTTAATAGGTTTTTTTAAGATATTCATTATTTTAATTTTGAGTTTCAAATTTTCTACCTCCCTCTAGCCCCTCCCCCACCCATTAAGAAGGCAAGCAATTTGATGCTCATTATACATGTGAAGTCAGGCAAAACACATTTCCATATTAACCATATTGCAAAAAATAAAACAACACTTTAAACTTTAATGCCACGTTCTATAGGCAGCCTTTCCAGGTTCCCCTCAACCCTAGCTGCCAGAGCCTTTCCCTCTAAGGTGACCTTATGTGCTCCTCTGTATGCATCATACCTGTACCTGTTTACAAATATGCTGTCTCCTACTAGAATGAAAGGTCCTTTGGTTTCAGAGAAACCTGAGAAAATTTCTATGAACTGATACAGAGTGAAGCGAAAAAAACTATGAGAACAATTTATACAATAACAACAAAACAGTGAAGAAAAACAATTTTGAAAGGCTTCAGAACTCTGATCAACACAATGATTAACCATGATTCCAAAGGACTGACAATGAAGCATGTTGCCTGCCTCTGGACAGATGGATTAATATGCAGAATGAAACACACAACTTTGGATTTAGCCAATGTGAAGATTTGTTTTGGTTGAGCATGCTTATTTCTCATAGGATTTTGTCTGTCTGTCTTTCCTTCTTTCTTTCTTTCTTCCTTTCTCTCTTCCTTTTTTCCTTTCCTTTTTGTTTGTTTTCAGTGGAGGAAGACGTGGGTAGCAGAAAAAATAAATACTTATACTTTTAAAAAGTAACATTTTATTTTTTGAAAGATTGTAAGGTCCTTGAAGTGGGAACTTTTTAAAAAAATTTCTATCCCCAGTACTCAACACAGCGTCTGGTACATAGTAAGTGCTTAATAAATGCTTGTAAATTGACTGATTGGCAAAGGTCTTTCCTAGCAACAACTCTATGAGGGTACATAATGCAAGTATGATTAACTCCATTTTACAGATGAGGCCAAATGCTTCCTTAAGGTTACATTGGTACTAAGCATAGGAGCCAGAATAGGAATGTTTGAATCAGGGAATGCCATAATCTTCGAAGAATTCAATGGAGAAGGGCATGGTTGGAAGGCATAGCCTTTGAAACATTACCAAGCAAGAGATGGAAAGCAAAGGATGCCTTCAGAGAGATGAATGACAGGAAAAGAAGCCTGGCTGGGTTGGTCATGTTGGGACAGTGAGGTATAACCAGCGGGTGGTCTCTATGCTAAAACAAGAGTCATACAGAATGAGAAGGCATGGTTGATTTGGGATCTCT